CAGAGTGTAATAGAACAGAATGCTGAGTCTATAACGTCATGCAAAGTTTTTGGTAATGTATTTAAAGCTGTGTAATCGATCGTTTCTTCAGCTTTGAAGAACTTCTAGAAATGATACAGATTTTCATAATGGAGCTCTTTCTCAATGCTTAGGAGAATAAAATTATTCCATGGTTACTATGGGCAACTAAAATTTTTAGATAAAAATTTTATTTAGATAAATTACTATATATATTTTATTTAGATAAAATTGTATTTCGATAAAATTACTATAAAGTAATTAGTAAAAGGAGAAATTAGATATGTGCTATATGCCTTCTTTTATTCCTTCTCTATCTAGTGATCTGTGTTGAATGTTAAAAATAATATCTTGGTTGTTAAAAATACTAGTGTTGTCAGTTTCTCATAATTTAAATAACTTTGAGTATAGCATATAAGGATATAAAGATTTCCTAAATGCTTCTTTGTAATTTTCCTTAATTCATATTCTATTCAAACTAAAAGTGAAAGCCCCTACACTTTCTGAGTAATCTCTGGAAGCACAGGGAAATATTAAACTAGTTTAGAGACATAGATTTAAACAGAGATTGCTTAAAGCTATGGGTACTCAATCTTGAAACCGCTTGCTTAAAGACAGGGAGAAGTACCTCAATGGTTGTTTTTAAAAATAATACCCCCAAATCGTTTCCATTTTTCATTCCTGCTTTAATTAAATTTAGTGAGTTTTGGATTGACTGTGGGCATTTCGATGTTATGTCTATACACAGGGTCATAAATTTAGAGCATCCACCCATTTTCTGATACTTTCTAGGATATGAATTTTAAAATATTTTAAAGATAACATTATTAAATAAAATTAAAGGCCATTTAAGGGGATGACAAGTCACCAATATTCCTGCCATCCTATTATAAACCACTTTTATTTGTATTCTATTCTTCAGGTGGTTGCACTATGAACATACTTTTAATAGTATTTTGTGTTAATGTGTTTTTCATTTAAGATTACATCATAAATATATCATCCCTTTGTATACACTTTAGACTTCATGATGATGGATTGAAAGTAAAAGACATAGACGTCTCTAAGTAGATGCTGGTGCCATGCTCACTGTGTTGGAGAAAATAGGTGATTATGGTTAGTTAGCTTCTAAGGAAGATTTTTGTTTGAGTTTAATATGGGGGAGACTCGCACAGATTTATAGCCTACTGGAGAGGGAGATTATTCCAGTGGAGAGGAGCAAAGGTGCAACTTCTAAGTATTTGGGGAGGTGGAACAAGAAGGGACCAGGAGACTTGAAGAAAAGGAATATGCTTTTTTCCTGAAGTTGAAGGGAATCAGCAGATGTGTTCAGATAAAAATTCCTACTGACCTAAGGGTTTATTACAAGCGATTTTAGTATCCTTTGTAACCCCTGTTACTTTAATCTTTACCATGTTATAATACTCTATCTGTGTGTGGAGTAACTAGTTTTCTTCTTTTAATTTAAAAACTTTTGGGGGAAAAATTTCAAACATACACAAAAGTACAGAGAATAAATAGTACAATGAACCTCCGTGAACCCATCACCCAACTTCAACAGTTATTCTGATAGCTTTTTAATATTTTTTTTTTATCTGTTAATGATTTAGGAATATTTACCCTTTAATCCATCTGTGTTTATTTGGCTGGAATTAGATAAAATAAATACTATTTATTAAGTAAGCCATCCTTTATATTATGATGTATCTGATTTATAAAATATTGTTTCATTTATGCCAGTATAGCATAGTTTTACTTATTTTAATAGGTTTTATACTCATAATTATAAATATTTATAATTTAAAAGTTGGTGGTGATATCAATATTTAAAATTATATTACTGTTTAATGTGTTTTAATATTTATAGCTACAGTGTCTACGGCCGGTCTGTATGTGGGATCCGAACCCTCGTCGGGAGCACCACCGCGCTTCCCAAGCGGCACACTATAGCAGTGCGCCACCGGGCCGGCCCAAGGATAGGAACTTTTTTAACAAGTCAAAAAATCTTTTATTGATAAGCTTTTTTAAAATGAAAGACAAGCCTACATAATTCCACACATACAAGAGGTCTTAAAAAAGGTCATGGAAAATGCGCATGCATGGATTTCAAAATTTTTTTGCACTAAAACAAACTCATGCTAACTGGTTCCAACACATCTGAGCAGGACCTAGTTTGAGGCACTAAGATGAAGAAGACATCAGTTTGAAAAGAACCCCTATCAGAGCAATGTGAATTCTGCTAAAACTGAAGCAAGAACAAACATCAAAATTTATGGTGAAGTTTGGGTGGGAGAATGGTGAAATCATTGATGATTTACAAAAAGTTTATGGGGGCGATGTCCCAAAGAAATCAGCAGTTACAAATGGAGAACTCATTGTAAGAAGGGAAGAGATGATGTTGAAGATGAAGGCCTGCAGCAGCAGACCCTCCACAGCAACTTGAGAGGAAGAAATTAATCCTGTTCATGCCCCAGTTGAAGAGTACCAATAATTAACAGCAGAACCGATAGCCAACACCATACACATCTCAAGTGGTTCAGCTTACACAATTCTGACTAAAAATTACAGTTGAGCAAACTTCCTGCTCGATGGGCACCAAAACTGTTGCACCCAAATCAGCTGCAAATAAAAGCAGAGCTTTCAATGGAAATTTTAAACAAGTGGGATCAAGATCCTGAAGCATTTCTTCAAAGAATTTCAACAGGGTCGAAACACGGCTTTCCCAGTACGATCCTGAAGACAAAGCACAAAGTTATGGCTATGAAGAGGTGGAAGCAGTCCAGTCAAAGCAAAGGCAGACTGGTCAAGAGCAAAGGTCATGGCAGCAGTTTATTGGGATGCTGAAAGCAGTTTGGTTGTTGACTTTCTGGAGGACCGAACAATGACAACATTTGCTTATTATGAGTGTTTTGAGGAAGCCAAAGTTTTAGCAGAAAAATGCCCAGGAGAGCTTCACCAGAGAGTCCTCTACCATGACAATGCTCCTTCTCATTCTTCTCATCGAACAAGGGCAATTTTGTGAGAGTTTCAAGGGGAAATCATTAGGCATCTACATTATAGTCCTGATTTGACTCCTTCTAACTTCTTTTTGTTTCCTAATCTTAAAAAATATCTTTAAAGGGCACACATTTTTCAGTGAATAATGAAAAAAGACTGCATTGGCATGATTAAATACCCAAGATCCTCAGTTCTTTAGGGATGGACTAAATGGCAGGTAATATTGTTTATGAAAGTGTCTTAAACTTGATGGAGCTTATGTTGAGAAATAAAGTTTATATTTTTTATTTTTATCTTTTAATTCCAGTTCCCACGAACTTGTTGAAGTTCCCTTGTATTTATTCAGTAAATATTTATTGAGCAATATTGTGTGCCAATGTTCCATCTGAAAAAATTGGTAT